ACAAATCAGGAACAAAAGGGCCATTTATTTAGAAATAGAAGTAAGCTCTAGAAGAAACAACTACCATCTTGACAGTCGCAGGACCTGGGTCAGAAAGGAGGTGGGCACATTTTCATTTAACTTCAAAACTATGCCGCATATTATTTTGATAAAACTAAAACTTCTGGGCTGGGGATGTGGCTCAAGCAGTAGCGCACTCGCCTGGCATGCGTGGGGCGCTGGGTTTGATCTTCAGCACCACATAAAAATAAAATAAAGATGTTGTCTCCACTGAAAACTGAAAAATAAATATTAAAAAACTCTCTCTCTCTCTTAAAAACAAAACAAAAACAAAAACAAAAAAACCCTAAAACTTCTTTAGTGTTAGGGAATCAAAGCCAGGACCTCACATAGGCTAGGTGAGAGTTCTACCACTGAGCTGCACCCCAGGCCCTAGAAAAAAATGAATCTTTCTATTTTAAAATGTGAGTGAAGTAGGTCTTTGAGGAAGCAGGGATAGCCGTTAATTTCACCTGAACAACTTTGATTCTAATATGCTGTGGGAATCGGTCCCCAAGAGACAGGGTGGGAGCTGATGATGTTAAGCTGCTGGGTAAACAGAAGCCTGGGGTAGCTGTGACAGGCCAGGAGGCTGACCCTGTCTCCTGGGCTCTCCAAAGCCTCAGAAGGCCAGGTGGCCATGTGGATGGACAGCCAACAGAAACTCCTCAGGGCTGAATCCGAGTGGCTAACCGTGCTAAGTACTTCCAAGAAGGTGTGCATAGGGCCTTGTAATATCTTTGTTCAAAGAGGAAAACCAAACTTGGAGACATTGCAGAAGGTGTTCACATTTAGTGCATTCCCTAAGTGCATTCCCTAAGAGCTGGGAAGGGAAACCGAGTCTGTCCCAGCAAAAGCTAAACTCCTTATCACTCTGCTTCTCGGCTTCCTATTTCTTTACATGTTCACAACTGCTGGAATCAGGGCACCACCTGTCAAATGGCTTCCAGGTTCTTTCTCTTGGAGTCCATCACTTGAGCTCTCACCAGCTTCCATCTCTGAGAAGTTAATCATTCCTGCTCTACCCCCTCACAGGTTAGGAGGAAACAACTGTATGTAAAAAACATTTTGTAAGCCAGGTACAGTGGCGTATGTCTGTAATTCCAGCAGTTCCAGAGAATGAGGCAGGAGGATTGTGAGTTTGAAACCCATCTCAGCAACCTAGTAAGATCCTAAGCAAGGTCTATACCCAAAGGACTTAAAAACAGCATACTGCAGGGACACAGCAACATCAATGTTTATAGCAGCACAATTCACAATAGCTAAATTGTGGAGCCAACCGAGATGCCCTTTAATAGATGAATGGATTAAAAAAGTGGCATATATACACAATGGAATATTACTCAGCAATAAAAGAGAATAAAATCATGGCATTTGCAGGTAAATAGATGGTGTTGGAGAAGATAATGCTAAGTAAAGTTAGTCAATCCAAAACAACAACAACAACAAAAAACAAATGCTGAATGTTTTCTCTGGTATAAGGTAACTGACTCATAGTGGGGTAGGGAGGGGGAGCATGGGAGAAATAGACGAAATAGAAAAACTCTAGATAGGGCAGAGGCATGGGAGGGGAAGGGAGAGGGCAGGGGGTTAGCAAGGATGGTGGAATGTGATGGACATCGTTATCCAAAGTACGTGTATGAAGACATGAATTGGTGTGAACACACTTTATATACAACCAGAGATATGAAATATTGTGCTCTATATGTGTAACAAGAATTGTAATGCATTCTGCTGTCATTTATTTAAAATAATAATAATAATACACTAAGCAACTTAGTGAGACCCTGTCTCAAAATAAACCATAAAATAAGGTGAGGGGGCTGGGTATGTAGATCAGAAGTAGGTAAACGCCCCTGGGTTCAATCCCCGGTACAAACAACATCAACCACAAAACAAACAAAACATTTTGTAAACCTTTTTATGCAAATGGAACTATTACTTTGACCAGGGGAGGGAGATAGGGGGGTCTTGGGATGCTGTTTGGTCTCTGGGATAAACTTTAGAGAAGCCAATCCTGGTCATTTGTGGTCTCTTACTTGCCAGACCAAACTCAAATGAGGATTTTTGAGAAGAGAGTTCTGGGATTTCCTAATGGTGTTCACCCCCCACTCAGCAACAGGGATGATGCTGTGGCACTGTGACTTTAAATGTGGCTGGCTCAGCAGGCATTACCACCTCCACTTGGAAAACCTGAGGATTTCTTCTTTTTAAAAATTGTCAAGAATTCCAGAGTTGGTTCCATCTCAGGATCTGTGACCTGACAGAACCGAACAGCTCCAAACCCGAAAATGTTTCCTCTCGCTTTGACCCAGGTGTCTACCACCTACCATTGGGGCAACTTTCTACTTGCGCAGCTTGGGAGTGATTTCCTGACTTCAGCGGCTCCCCAGTCATTTCTTTAGTTCAAGTCTGCCACCTGGTGGACAGTGCTCACTTTTTTATTTCTCAACTTTTAAAAAATGTTTTCACATTTAAAAAACCATCAGGTGCTTTTACAATCTGTGAGGTATCTGCATGGTATTATTATTTCCACTTTATAATGAGAAAATGAGAAGAGAGGAAGGAATTTGCAAGTACCCAGAGCTGCAATGAGTGTCTTTTTCCTTCATTCAGCAAAACCCCAAAATACTATCCTCTGAGTGTGCTGGGTTGGAGCCCAGTGTTAAATCCCGGCTCAGCAACTGCCACCAAGTGAGGTGTTTGCACAGAATTGAATCTGATCACTGCCAGGCCCTCTGTCACACTGAACATTTGCACTTGCTGGAACTACTCTGTGCAATGAATGTGCTGATTTATTTCCAGAAGGGGAAGCCAAAGCTGGTACCTCATTTCAACTCTTGGGTTTTAAAGTTTGGTGGGTGTTGCAACTCCCCAAACCTGAGTAAGTTACATAAAAAAATACAGGCTGAAGGATCTCCTTGGAATCCTTCGAATACCTCTGACCACCTCGCCAACAGCCACACTTGGATTTGAAGTTCTTTGTGCTGCTTGGGTGCTCTCTACTGCAAGGACAGGGTGTCCTGAAGGGAACAGCATGGTCCTGGCTGAGCTGTGACCTGGCCACTTCAACAGACTGACTGGTGTTGAGGTAGTGAAATTTTTAAGAAGTGGGGCCTACTGGATAGGAATTAGGTCACAGGGATGTGTGAAGGATGAATGAATTGACATTGGTCTTGCAGAATGGGTTGGATCTCATAAGGGTGAAGCAGACCTCATGAGTGCTGGTTCTTATAAAGTGAGGCCATCCTACATGCTTGATCTCTTCTGTATGTACCGCTCACCACTCTATCATACATTTCCACCATTGTGATGCCATCTGCCATGAGGTCCTCATCAGAGCTGAGCAGAAGTCAGCACCATGCTCTTGAATACCCAGAACTGTGAGCTAAATAAACCTCTCTACTTTATAAGTTACACAGTCTCAGGTATTTTATGATAGCAAGGGAAAATGAATGAAGACAATGTGCATGTTGGGGGCAACCAGCGGAATGGGTGTTTACTCTAAACATGTTCTCTCAGTAGTTCTTAACCCAGGTGGGGTCTGTAAGAAAGGGTGTGTGCCAGAAAGGTGGTGGGCCTTTGGGGTTATCCAATGAAAAGAAACATTACCAGTGTAGAAGGGAACTGGATGCAGTGCAAGGATTGTCCCACTTAATTACAAGTGTCTCTTGAGTAGACATTTCTCTAAAGATGTACAAATGGGCACTAAGCATGTGAAAAGATGTTCAGTATCACCAGTTATTAGGGAGATGCAAATCAAAATCACAAAATATCACTGCTTTCCATAAGGATGGCTATTATTTAAGACACCCCACTCCCACACATACACACCAGAAAACAACAAGTATTGGTGGGATATGGAGAAACTTGAACACTTGTGCAATGTAGGTGGGAATGTAAACTGGTATACCTTCTATGGAAACTAGTATGACTGTTCCTCAAAAGATGGTAAATATAGTTAAGCAATTTTATTTATGGTGTTTACCTGCTCCCCAAATTTTAAACAGGGTCTAGGGGAGATATTTGTATACCTGTATATTCATAGCAACATTGTTCGTGATAGCCAAAGGGTGGAAGCAACCCATATATCTATGGACAAAGGATGATAAATTAAGTGTGGTCTCTACATGCAATGGGACATTATTTACCCTTAATGGATGAATCTTAAGGACCTATGCAAAGTGAAAAAAAAGTCAGTCACAAAAGGATAAATACTGTATGATTCTACATATATGAAGTCCCTAGAGTGGTCAAATCCATAGAAATGGAAAGCAGAGTGGGGGCTGTCAGGGGCAAATGAGAAGGGTAATGGGTCTAGAATAAAGGTATTTTAATACCCTGAAATGGTTACCATGGGCTGAGGGTGGAGCTCTGTAGTTGAGCACTGCCTAGCACCTGTGAGGCCCTGGGTTCCATCACCAGTATACCACACAGGCGCGCGCGCACACACACGCACACACACACACACACACACACACCGCACTCCAAGGTCGTGTTGGTAAATGTAGGTGTATATGGCTTCAAGAAAAGAGAAGAACTGTCTCATGTAAAGTGCTGTAGCATCCTTTTGGGAGATAAGCTAATCATCAAAAAATAGTCAAACGTACATGTATTTGGTTGTAAGTTTGTTCATACTTTTGAGAGTCAAGTCCAATACCACATTTGTCCTACTCATCTAGGTTCTCCTTTGTCTCCATCAATAAGAAGACCTTCAACATCTGGTCGAGGTTAAGGAACACCTTCACAGAGGAGCCAGGGATGGCAATGGGATGAGAAGGGGTCACGTTATTTAGCCAACGGCATTCATCCCATGAAGCTCTCACTTATTTACAGTCACTGACCTATAAGCTGCATCTCTGAATCCATAAAGACACCTGAGGGGCAGCAACTTGGTATCTCTAGCTTTGAATGATGCTTTCAGGTTTTTGGAGGAAAGCTGCAGGGAAGAGTGTTCCTACCTTGTAGATGCAGGACTTGGCATTCAGGAAGAAGAGCTCGATGGTGGCGTTGTCCTTCAGGTAGGAGATGCTTTCTATGTAGAACCTGAAAGAGGAGAATGGCACATGAGCCACAGGGGACCACAAACCCGCGGTTCTCTTGAGCTACTGGAGTTGAGGTGAGGACTGGAGATCCCAATGTTAAATGAAGGCTCGGAAATGGTATGGAGTGTTTTTCTCTGATTCTTTTTTTCGGGCACTATTTTTCATGTCTGTTTCTAGCAGGTCAGATTGGTCAGGCCTGAGGGCCTCCCCAGAGACTAACAATGGGCTCCCTTGCCATCCCTCCCTAGGAGCAGACTGAGTCTCCTTCCACTTTGCCTTCCTTACCCGCTTTCCAATTCTTCATGTTATTTGATTTCATTATATTTTTTTGACCTAATCACCATCGAGATGGATTTTTAAAAAGACAATGTCTTCTGCTTCATCAAACAAGGTGTGTGTTTCTCTTTGAAATGCTCCTTATGTGCTTTCCCAAGGGTGGTGAAGTGTGACTTGATTTCTGCACACGCAGAGCACCGTGGTAAGTGTCCTTAGCACTGACATATTAATGCATATTAAGCCAAATGAGAATTGAATTCCTATCAGGATGGAGCCTATGGATTTGGTCAAGATTGAAACATGCGGACATTATTTAAGTTTACATTAAACGCGCCTTTGCACATCGACTTTGGAGTTTATTAAATTCTTTAATTAGATAATGTGCTTGTACTATCTAAAGATCGCGTGCTGAGCATATAGGAGCTGGGATGGCGAGTGATTTAAATGCAGTGTTATCAGAGGGAAAAAGAGTCTCAGTGGGTGCGACAACCCTCAGACTAGACTGGGAAGGCACTGGCTGCTTGGCTCTTAGAAACTGGATGGACCAAAAGAGGTAGGGGGCAAAGGAACTAGAACGAGAAGAACAACCTCTCTGGTCTTCTAGTACAGTGTTACAATTTGATGACAAGAATTCTAGGGAGGGGACCAAAGACCAGGAATCTAGTCCCTGCTTTGTATACTTAGGACAAGTCACACAATCTCTCTGGGCTTTTCTTCTCCAGGCTAAAAGAAGAGAGTGGGACTCAGTGGATGCTTCTCCATCTGAGTTGTCTCCTGGTTTTTAAATATTAAACACTAATACAAAGTAAGACCACAATAAAACAGCAGCAGCAAAACCAACAAGCCAACATCGTAAAAGGCAAACAAAACATATCCATAGGTTAGGTCAAGACACGCCCACCAGACGAAACCTCTTATCTATACCCTAAGTGAACGCTGTCTTCTCTCAGTTTTCAAATGTGTGCGGGGGTTGCTGTGATGAATACAGTATAGATTCACTTAAATGTGTGAGTGGATCTAGTGTAACTTCAGGTATTAGTAGATCCTCTCAGTCAGTAGACGTGAGTAGCATGATTACCATCACGTCAGGGACTGCAGAATTTCAGAGGATTACAAACGATCCTCATGCTTGCAAAGCCCGGGAAGAAGACTGACTGATCTTTGGCCACATCCCCTCTGGCCCCCAAAGCAGCTGTCCATGGGGCCCTGAATATTAGAGTCTGCAATTGTCTCAGAGGAATCCTCAAGTTGTACAACTTTCAGTTCTCCAAGAATGCAGAACTGAAATGCAGTGGCAAATTTTACATCTCAAAGCAAAATACGTTCAATGGGATTTAATTATCAAAAATAAACCTAGATCCTTTACAAAGGGCTCTTGACAAGGGGTAGTTAAAATAATAAATTAAGTGGAAAGAAAAAGGAAGGAAAGAGGAAGAACTCAGGGGAGGGATTAAAAACATATGGCACTGCTTTGAAAATTAAGTTATCACAGATCCTTGAAATTTAGAGTCAAAATTATTATGGTCTACTCCCATGCTCCCAGGACATCAGGATGGTCTGCCTCACACTCTGCCCACGGTCTGGTCATCTTCTGATGACTAGGGTGCCTTCTCACTGGGCTGCCAACTCCTTCAGGGCTGGAGCCAAGTCTTGTTCATTTTTTTTATCTCAAGCCCAAATACAGTGCCTGGCACAAATATGGACTTAGTAAGTGGCCGTCAACAAAGACTTTTTCCCCTCTCCATTCTCCCTTTGTTTGGAGTTCCTATTGGACAGTGAAAAGGGTGATGAAGATAATAAGGAGGGAGAAGAAATAACAAGTGTCTTCCAAGTGGTGAGGGGCTTTACACCCCAGACAGACAGACAGACAGTCATTACTCTACTGTCCCGGCTCTCACTGGTGACAGAGAAAGTGGTTACAACAGCTACTGACTTAACGTGTCCTAATACCAGAACAGCAGCAGTAGCCTCCCGAGGCTGACAGCAACCTTACTATGATAATAGCATTGAGTTTAAATCTGTATGGTCTGAAACAACTTAATTTCCAAAGCAATTCCATTTATCCCATTTGTTTGACTTTGAGAATTCAGTCCTGATGACATTCTGTGCACACACTCCCAGCCTCAATTTTCTCTAGAATAGTAGTTTACGAAAACATAACACTTGTCTTCTCCTTTCAACTCTTAAACAATGGAAAACTCAAACAAGGAGGCCCAGTTGATGTCTCTGGAGACAGCACTCACTTCCACCGACCTCCTGCCATCTGGTTTTGAGAGGCAGAGAAGGAAGAGGAAATAGCAAGCATATTCTGAGATATAGGGAAAAAACCCCTCCTCTTGACAGGAAGTGGAGAGAGCTTTCCTGTTAACCTTATCACCAAGACAACTGCTGAGAAAACCCTGGTAGCAACGGACCTGTCATACTCTTATTCAGTAACCTTGGACATTTAACTCATCCTGAACTTTCCATCTGCTCCAGGAAACTGTGGAGGGAAAAAAATAAAAACTTTGAGGAAAAAAAGAAAAAAAGGTCTGAGATGTCTCCATTCACACACAAGCAGGCACCGGGGAGAGGAGACTTCTGGGCAAATGGGGAGGGTTCACGGTTTGGATGCAACGGTTTTTGTAAAAATGTGGTTCTTTTGCACACTTTGTCCTTGATCCCTGTCTTCGACAGTAGGTGGCGATGTTGCACTTCCTTTTCTTGGGCGGGGACAGGCCAGAGGCTTCCTCAAGAAGCAGGCTCACAAAGAAAAATCAGGGTCTTTGGGTAAACCCAGGGAATTGAAGGCTGGGTCTTAGATGCAGAGGGTCTGCAGGCACCGTTTCAAGTCCACTGTGGATTAGCCACGTCTTTATGATGCTTTGACATCTGGGACCTTGCTGACTCTGGAGGGGCCACCCCTCAAAGGGTCTGCCACTTCTTATAGACAATAAGAACTGTGACTCTCATGCAACCCACCAAACCACAGTCCACACCTCCCACCAGCCCCATCGGCTTCACAGCCGGGGCCATTATTTGCCTGCCCTGACTACTCCAGGGACATGCCACATACAACTAGGGACAATCCCAGAGCCCACTGAACTCGTTCATACTAGCCAAACCTAAACCTGCTTACCCCCCTCACCTGTTCCTTCCCACAGAAGCCTCAATAAAGCCTCTTACCCACATTTTCCTTTCTTTCCCTACCCCCAACTACAGGCCCTGGTACTTCCCCATGGGGCCCTGCGTGTCATGATGGAGCATGCCCCCCTCCTCTTGGGAGCTGTGACAAACTACTTTTTCAACATCAGTTACCTCCTGATCTGTTGTCCTCATCGTACCTGATAAACCACAAAACCTTCATCGTAATGTTGGTTCTTTGATGCATGTAGCAGCACCGAGCCTTGGGGCTTCCTTTTGAGTTGAAGGGAGCAACCCCTTCAACACCAGGGCAAACCCAGCACCATATGATCCCTGAGCCCCATGAGGCATGTCACACCCTTGCTAGCTCAGATGATCCCCGCCAGAGAATATTTGATCATAGTCTGATGCAGAGAGAAGTCCGTGTTCTTTGTCCACGGGTTCAAGCGTATTAAACACCCCACAGGCTCTGCAGCCTTGGGGAGTCTCAGCACCTTGTTCAACTCCTGGAAGCTTCTGATTGTGATGGCTGATCTCTGTCTAGCTAGCTGACATCAGCCAGGTCTCCCCTGCCGTCCCTGCTCCTCCCCTCCCCTCTCACAGCCACCCCTTGGCATTTGGGAATCATTGAATATTTACAGCAAGTGTTAATTAAATGGCCCAGTGATTTCATTGCATAATGAACACAAATGTCATATTTGGAATGCTAACTTGGGGTAGCAGAAAAGAGCAAATGAAAAGCTGTGAGCTTCTACAGCTGAGGACTCTTGGTGTTTAGACTTGCAATGGCCTTTAATATTAACTGGGACACTCAGCAAGTTCTAGTTAACAGCCTCTTCATTTTAGATCTATGCCATCACTATTTTTGTGAGGGACAGGAAGTAGCTACTGCTGTAGCTAGGAGGACATCAGCAAGGGGGACACTGACAAGTCAAATCCACAGTGCCTGTAAAATCCTCTCTTTCAGATAAAAGCTTCCTGGACTCTCCTCTCGGTCTTTCTTTGCTGTTGTTCACTTCGGTTTATTCCTTGTGAAATCAAAGTTGAGGAGGCAAATCTAATCTGTTAATTTTTCTACAAACAGTGTAGATGACCAGGACTTCAGGGATACTTGCTAAAGAGCACATGATTAAAGGAACAGCCCTGACATGTGGGAATCATTCTGAGCACAAAACTCGTGCCTACCAAAAGTCATACACAGATTTCCTTGTGTGGGTACCTCTATTTTCCTTATTTTTTTTTCTTTGTCTATTACTTAAGCTTGCCTGGTCAATATGAGAGTCATTTTCTCCCATTTTGAGAATTGTCTTATAGCACTAAACAATGGCTATGGGTGAAGGTGTTCTTGGTCATGTATGGGCTGAGGTGACACAAGGGAGCAATGAGGCTGGACAGCTGAGAAGAAGTCAGACTGGACAGGGCTTGGTAAGGCCATGCTTCCCCCCCTCCCCCCAAGGATAATGGGAAGCCAGAAAAAAATTGTGAGCAAGGATCAGATGAGCATTCTAGAAAGATGTGCTGGGGAGACTAGGCAGGACCCAAGAGCAGAAGCAAAGCTGAGCAAGGAAAGTTGAAATAGAGGAGAAATTTATGAGGCCCCAATTGCAGCTGAGAGGGTGTGCACGGAGCACAATGGAGGGATATAAGAGCTCTCTGAGATGCAGAATAACAGGAAATTGTGAGCAGAGCAAAGGGCAAAGGTGAGACAGGATGGGGAAAGTCGAGGAAAAGTACCCGGTGGGGGCAGAAGCTCTTTTATGGACTCAAATCTACTCCAAGGTCTGGGACTTTGATGAAGATAGTTTACCTTATCACTCCTTTGGAAGAAACACGTGTGGGCAGCCCTAGACAGGAACCAAGTTACAAACAGAGAATTTTTCTCAGGCTGAAAATCAAGGTCAAACTGGAGAATATATACACCCAGGTGGAGAATCTGGCTCCTCTGGCAGAAAACAGACAATTGGTGTTTGGTTGTACTGCTGCTCAGAGAGGTGAAGAATGGGAACTCAGGACAGTGAGGGGGCCAGGATGCTCTGGCCAGTACCAAGGGGCCAGCTGTCCGGGGGCAGCAGATGAAAGCCTCAGAACAGGCAGTGAGGAGGGATGGACAGAGGACAGGGCAGAGGAAGATTCTGGAAGCAGAATAGAGAGTTTGAGTATGTAAGAATTGACAGAAGAGGAGCAAGGGAAAGAGCACCTACAGTCTACTCGAGGCAGTGAACAATGACACCACAGATCTCCGGGGACCACAGAAGATTTGGGGAAAAGAGAGGAGGAGTGGGCTGGTAATGACATTGGCTTTGGACGGCTAAATCAGAAGAACTCAGGTGAAGTGGTCTAGGAGGGAACCAGACGTAGAAACCTGAGACCTTCTAGAAAGATCAATTGTTAGACAAAGAGGAGCAGTAATCTGCCAGGAGGTGGTAGAAAGAAATAGCAGAGAACAACCATCCTCAAAGGGGATTTGGAGATGTTTTTCTGATGAGTGATCTGTGAGGTTCCTACTGGCCAATTAAAAACACGAATGGCCCATGGCAAGCGTGTCATTTCTGGCCGGGGATCAGATAAAATATTTGAGTCTTGTGGTCGCCCTGCTTCCTAGTTCTGTCTTTTGCAAGCAACTGTGTCTCACTGTGTCCTCTGGTTTGACTTGAAACAATCTGTACAACCTGGGGGACCAACACCTCTGTCACCAATCTCAGTGTCCCAGGCTGTCCTGCAAGGATCTGGTTCCCCAAACCCACCAAGGACTCACCTCTTTTCAGACACTTGGGAATAAATATACCTAACATGCAACAAAGCCCAGTATTTTCTTGACTAACACTGAAGAAAAGTACCAGAAAGAGAAACTTTTTTTTTTTYYWARRARGRRGGRAMC